CGTCGCTGAGGGGAAAGGTTATGTGGAGGCCTGACATGCATTGGATTCATAACTACCCTTCCTACTTTTGTGCAGCAGAGGAGACGTTTTAAAATTTCCTTTATTGCTGTCTTTTCCCCCAATTCAAAGTGATTGTTTTTGTTTTAGATAATGTAAACATTGAAGAAGTACATGATTTAGAAACTGAAAATTTTCTAAAACACCAGCCCTAGAGATAATAAAGATGCAACCCCTAAACCCGCTGCTGTCAAATTGTTTTGGACCAATAGCAATCCGTTCAGCAGAGGTTTCCAAGGCTGTGGATCTTGAAGGGAGCCAGCTCTTCCAGAGTGGCGGTGGGGTTCGAAACATTGACCTTTTGGCTAGCAGCCAGTGTAACCACTGCACTCAGACTCACTGCCATCGAGTCAGTTTGGCTGATAGAGACGCTGTAGGACAAAGTGGCAGTTCCGGCAGCGGCGTATCTGTACAGGAGAAGGCAGCCTCGTCTCCCTTCTGTGGAATGCCCGGTGGCCTCCACCCGCTGACTCGCAGCAGCTCAGGGCGTCTGAAGCCCGGCACCCCAGTAGAGCTCTGCCGGAGCTGATAGCCGCTGTTAGCCGCTTGAGGGGCATCCTTTCAGACTTCCTCTGGCTCGTTACTTTACTTCTTGTGGACAAAACTGAAGTCACAGAAGAACATGTGGCACCTTTCCCTATTGGTACACAGGGAGCAGTCTTGTGTTCCACTGTGTGTGCGCACTCGTGCCCTCTCTCCAGTTAGGGACACATTGTCATAGTGCTGCAGTGAATGCCCGTGTTCCTAATGCTTACTCAGCTCTCGGAGGACTGCTCCAGGTCCAGAGACCTGCAAGTGGAGGGCCGGCCGCGGGCGAGCTGACTCTCAGAAGGCTCTGCTAGCCTGCATCCAATTCAAGGAACAGTGATGGGGACACCTGTTTCCTACACCTTGGTCACTTGTGGAAATCGGTTTTTTCATTTTGCAAGATCTTTTCCTAATCATTAATGAGATTACATGTCTTTCATGAATTGCTTTTTATATTAGAACTAAATCTCTCTTTTTTAATAGCAGCCTTACACATTCAGATGCATATACTTTGTTCCAGGCCCTCACTTACTTTTCTTCTTTTTATATTTTTACTTTTAGCTTAAATACCAAGTGCTTGTCTTTTCACTCTTACTTCTGGATTCTTTTTGGTGTGTGTGTCAGATACTTAAATTTTTTACATAGTGAAATCTTCAGCTTTTTTATGGCTCTCAGGTCTGTGTCCTGACTCAGAAAGCCTCTGCCTGTCTGTCCGTGAGCCTGCTGGGGGTGTCTCGAGTGTCTGCTGCGTGAGGTCAGAGTCCGGATGGATGAGCCCACCCCCGGCCCGCCCGCACTCATGTGGAACCCACTGTGCCCACAGTCTAGATTCCTGCCCCCACAGGACCTGTTCCCTGGGTCTGCCTGTTCTCACAGTAGTTCTCTGTGCCTGTTTGAGAGAACAAAGCCTCCATTAAAGACAGTGGAGATTCTGTTTCGAGTGTGCTAAGATTTTCTGATAGATTGGATTTTGTGTTTTGTCTTGTTTCCTTTTGGAATCATGAGTTGAAGGAACATAAATGTTTCCTTTTAATCAGTAAACACAAGGAATTGCTTAAATGGGTTTTCTAATATCGAGCTCTCTGAATGCCAGATTCGGTGGCTTATGTGTCCTACTCCTTTACTTAAAAAGTTACTTTGTTATTGTTTGCACAAAGCCGCATTTGCTTCAGTTGCGCACACATGGGGAACAAGACCTTGTTAAAAGAAGCAGGAAGGAAGAGGGCCAACCCGAGGCGAGCCTTTCAGAGGGAAAGCGTGTAGTCTTCTGATCTGCTCTCCTTTACTTAAGACGTTGGTCTCTGGGCTTTACAGAGGTTGGCCTTGGCTGGCTCCCTCCCGCCCTCCACCTTTGTCAGGGTGCCTTCCGTGTTTCACCCCGCAGACCGAGGAGGGGCTTTGTGCCCTCCCCGCATACTCTAAAATAGCCGTGCCGTTCCTAACGCTGGTTCGCAGGGTTCTCCACCTTTGCTGAGGCCACTTGATGTAATCCCTGCCGTGGGCTGTTGTCTTCCTGTGCCAGGTAGTCCTCGGCAGCTTCCTGGGGCGGGGAGCTGGGGAATGGCGAGGAGGGGACCAGGCCCGCAGACTCCTTTCCCGTGCCTAAGGGGAGCACAGAAAAGGGGCCCAGGTCTGGCCGCTGCCTGACAGGTGTTAGCTCCAAGGCTCAGTCTTCCTCTCAGGTACACGGCTATGTCATTACCAAGGGGCTGCAGATGGCCACTTTTCTTACGCCCAGGGATATGCCAGTAGACTTGGTGACTCAGAGAGCGCCTGGCAGTGAACCTCCCCGCTCAGAGGCCAGTCTGGTAGGCAGTCTGGTTGTGGAGAGAACACAGGGCTGTGAGTCAAGCCGCCTTCAGCTGATGTCTGACCCTGGACAAAGCTCCGCAGCTCTGGGTTTCAGTCGAACGAGGGAGTGACCGACGCCCGTGATTGCGTCAGTGAGAGAGGACCTCAGAACCTCCACAGGCCTTGGGCACCCGAGCTTAGAGGGCTCCAGACTACACATTGATGAGACAGTGAGAAACTTCGCCCTGACTGGACACTTAGCTGATTTTAAACAGTTGTCGATCTTTTTATGTACGGTAATGGCAGAGTAATGAAGTTTTAGAAAAAAGTTGTTCATGATACAGACTGCAATACTTATGGCTAGAGTACATTTGAAAAGAAAAAAATGCTAGACGCGCCGGCACAGATTTCTCTAAGGTCTTGACAAGCAAGCACTTCCTTCGTTTCGCTCCTGGCACTGCGTAGTATTCACTGCACTGTCTACAGCTGAGGTGGGGGGAGGGGAACAGGACTGCCTCTCCTCTGTCTGTCTGTCTGTCCTGCTGGCCGCACGGTCCCTTGTCATGCTGGCAGGCAGCCCCTGGGAGAGTGGGCACAGCCCTGCCTTTGGGAAGCCTGTCCTTTGAATGTCACCCCTTCTTCCCCCTATCTTCCCTGCGCTACTGGATTCTTGGGGCTCCTTTAGGGGTTGCCCAAGAGTGAGCTCTAGAAGCATTGGGGAACCCTTGCCTTAGCAGAAGAGGGGCAGCTGTCCCTTGCGTCCTTCCTGGGCTGCAGGACCCCGCCGTAGCACTGAAAGCATGTGCCTTCCAGTCCCACCACCCTTCCCAGTTCCCCTCACGTGTCCTCCTTTCCCGTCGATACCCAGGCCCGGTGCTTCACATGGACCGTCCCCTTGAATCCACCCAAGGGCCCTGTGAAGTAGCTGCCAGCCTCTGCACCATACAGATGAGGCAGAGGAGGCTCGGAGAACATAAGTAATTTACCCAAGAGTTTACTTCTGCAGATGGGCTCTGCACGGCCGTTCACTGCATGTGTCCAGCAGGTTCTCCATTGAGAACCACGTTGTTGGGGGAGGAAAAACCCTCAGGAGGGGGATGACTGGGACAGAGGGTCTGGATGTGTTAACCTGGCAAAACCTTGACCCTTGTTAACTACCTCTCCTGCCACAGCGCCTGCCTCCAGCCCCCTGAAGATGCCGTGCGATGCAACCTCCATGACCAGGCTGGTGCTGGCTGCTTCGTGGTGTCCTGGGCACGTGTGCTGTCCCGCCTGCCCGCAGTCCTCCTCGAGATAGTCAGTTTGCCTCCCTGCCAACTGCCTTCAGAGTTGAGCGTTCGGGTCTCGTGAAGCCATTAGGTTAGGTGATTCAGCGCCAGCAGGCAGCACCGGCCCCTAGGATCGGCGAGTCTGGTCTTCCTCAGAGGACCCGGCTGTGGCGGAGCAGAGCGTCTCCCTCCCCCTCCTCGGCCATGGTCTGACCAAGTGTCTGTGTGGGACTGCTCACTGCGCTTACTAAAGGAGTTTCTTCCAGAAGTCAGTGCTGCTGCCCCCGGTGCAAGTTGGGAGGAGATGCCCGCACGGTCCAGGCCTGGGGGAGTCAGCTTGAGAACTTTGAGGACTGGGATCAGCCTGGCCCTGGGCAGTGGCGCAGGCAGAGGGCTTGCTTTGGACATTGTTGACTTCACTCTCAGTGGCTGTGGAAGACTGGGCCCCATGCACTGCCCTGTTTAAAATGACAACTGTTGAGCGGCCTGCTGAGACCTGGAAACTTGTGATTGTCCAGTCCTCTACAGCAGTTTCAAAGTGAAGACCGAGAGAGGTGGACGGTGCCCTTTGGCCAACCTAGGTGTGGGGGGCAGCAGTTGCCAGGCGGTGAACACAGACCCCTCGCCGGGCTTTTGGAAGCCCCTGCGTGCAGGGGTCGTTGGTCTAGAGAAGCCAAAGACACGAATGAAGCAATAAAGGAAGTGGCTTGAAGGACATTTGGAGGTCCGTGGGGCTCTGCGGTTGGGGTCTCAGCCTAAGGAACCGTTGTGGCATCCGAATGTGAGCGGGGAGAGGGCAGAAGCTCCAGTTCTTGATTGTTCTGTCTCCATTGGCTGGAAACGAAGTTTACAACTTGGCCATCCCTGGGAGCCTGGGGCATCATGGCTACATTGGCCACGCTCAGTGTTTCTTTCTATTCCATGTGATCTTTCTTCCTGCACGGTATTGGGGAGATTACTGACAGATGACTCCACTGCTTGGTACCAACCTAAGCCCTGGAGATGGAGGTCCCTGGAGAGGCAGTCACTGAAGGATGCTCCAAGCCCCGCCCTGTCTCCTCACACCACCTCTCTGTGTCGAGAGTCCTGGGTTTGGTGTGGGACCTGCCACCCACCGTCTCTTCCCTCTGAATTGCAAAGAGTCAAAGTGACAAGACTGACCAAGTGGAGGGGCATTCAGGGTAGGTGGGGAGGGCCTTCAACCTGCCTGCAACAACCCCTGGCCCCCAGGGCCATGTATCTCACAGCCAGGTTACCAGTGTTCCAACCAGGAGTTTCAACTGCCAGTGTGAGGGGTGGCTGGGAGGCTACTTCATGCATGCAAAAGCCTCTAACAGGATAGAGGCGGGAGGGGAGGGGCGCCCCTGGAACCATACTTTTCACCCTGGCCTCCTGCAGAGCCGGTCTGGGCACTGCAGTTTTTGCATTAGCTAGTGGATAACGGCTCTCTGAAATTCAGAAGGCGTGGGATACATTTGGGTGGAGGCCTGGTGGTTCGTGGGTAAGCCCTTTGCTGGAACCGACAGGTCAGCCGCTCCAAAGATGCAGCTGTCGCTCCCATCGCGGTGACAGGCTTGGAAACGGACGGACGGGAGGGTGGCTGAGTCAGAATGACCTTGGTGGCGGTGGCTATTTTTGTCTTGGCTTTGTTGGTCAATTTGAAGAAAGTATGAGACAGGAAAGAGGCCTCCAGAGCTCCTGCATTGGGTAGCTTTACAAGGAGGACGGTCACACCTCTGTAGGAGCGAGGCCTGCACGTCTGCCTCGCGCTGTGTGGCGCTTTGAGGAATCGTTCAGGCCCGGCAGGGAGCCCAGAACCGGCCCTTCCTGAGTCACAGTGCAGACTGGAGCGCGCAGAGAGGCTGCCTTTGAAAGATCCTGGTCTGGGGCGTGCCAAAGCCAAAAGGGAAACCAAATCATCCTGCCTTTGTGGGAGAGCCTGAGGCTTGGGTTCACAGCGTGAATGTCTACGTCAGGACTCTGCCTGTCCCTTGGGGCACCAGGAAACCAAACCTCAGCTTCAATGGGGAAGGATCGAGAAGCACTCCTTAAATTCTTGGCTGTCAGGTGCGTGCCGGTGCCCTGTGAAAGGTGCCCTCAGCTTGGAGAAGAGGTCACTGCTGGAAGGAGACTTTGGGCCTACTCTTGGCCCTCCCACAAAAACGGTATTGCGCAGGTAGAGGCCGGCCGCAGAGTTCGGTTCTGACTCCAGCACTAACAATGACCAAACTGACCTTTGGAGTGGTGCAGCTGGACTCCAGGTGCAGGCCCTCATTGCCTCCCACTGTGCTGCCAGGGGGAGCCTGGGGCGCAGAGGAATGGCAGAAGCAGGACTGGATGCCAGGTGCCAGTCGGTCCTCACCTTGCTGTGGCCTGACCGAGATGGGAAGCCAGATGTGGGAGTGAGGAGATGGTGGCTCGACCTTCGCGTGACCCTTATTGGTTGACTTTCCCCTAGAATGACTGCTGCAGTGGACGGAGTCCGTTGACTGTAGCCCTTCGTTGACCCTGTACCACCTCCAAAAATAGAGACTTATGGAAGAAAGATGAATGAACTCCAACGTCTGGATCACGAATGAATGAGTTCCAGCAGCCACCACACACACACACACCACTCCCACCCCCACCCCCGGGCATTGGAATCCTGTGTGGGGAGAGGCCAGTGTTCTGTTAGCCTGTCTGGCGCGGCTCGTACACCTGGACACACCTGCCTGCCTTAGCTGAGACTGGATGTGTTCTTTGCCAGCGATGAGGACTAGGTGGCTGAAAAACCTCCACCGTCTTGGGCAGCAGGAGTGTTTGGGACAGGGCCTAGGCACACTGATGCACGCTACTCTTCTCAGTCTGTGTCTGCTTGAGTCAGGATCGTGACAAGAAGCCAAAACCCACCCACCAGAATGGCTCTGAAAGCTGCGTATTCTCTTGGTCAGTCAGCCGACGTTCCCAGACAGGGTGGGACCCTCGCCGGTTCTCTTGTCTTCTTCGTCACCCAGCCGGCTTGCACTCGCCAGACTGTTTGGCTGCAGAGCTCTCCATGGACAGCATGTGTGTCTTTCCGTTCAAATTCTGAAGATAGGAGAGCTGGCTGCCTCCCTCCTGCATGTGGGTGTTTCTCTCTTCCCACCTGGTCCAAGAACAGTGTGCACGGGATGGAGTAGCCTCTCCTTTGTCCTGGGAGGCTTCCCAAGAGGAGAGCAGAAGGGCTTAAAAAAAGAAAACACAATTGGGTTGGGCTATTTGGTGTGGTGTTTGAGAAGGACGTTTATTTTGAAGTGTAGAGGTAGTTGCAAAGATCGTGCAGAGGTCACCCAGTTCCCCAGCGATCTCTGTCTCATGGAGCTGTCGTACAATATCAAAACCAGAACATGGCGCTGGCACTGTGTGCGTGCATGCGTGTCGTCCTGTGTCACTTTATCACCTGTAGACTCCAGTAGCCACCACCACAGTCAGGATCCAGAACCGGTCCACTGCCATAGCCCCTCCCTCAGGCTGCCCCTTGGTCACATTCACCTCTCCGCCACCATTCCTAGCCCCTGGCCACTGCCCTTCATCTCTGTAGTTTTGGTATTTCTGAAGAGTGCTCTGTGAATAGAACATACAGTGCTTGGTCTTTGAGATCAGCAATCTCTTTCACTCTGTCATGGCTGCAAAACACAAGTCGTCTTATCGAGTCCGTTCCTTTTCAGTGCTGAGTAGTATTCCGTGCCCGCCAGCTTGACCGCCCGTCTGCTGTAGCACATTTGGAGTGTCTGTAGTAGGGGCTGTTGCAAATAAAGCTGCTGTGTGCACACTCGCGTGGAAATGTGTTTTTGTTTCCGTCGGGTCCATGTGCTGGAGTTGGACTCCTGGGTCCTACGGTAAGTGTTTAGTTGATAAGAAACTGCCATACTGTTTTCTAGGTACTTGTGCCTTTTTACCGGCCCCCAGCATTGAACTGGAGATGCATTTTGTCCACAGCCATGCCAGCATGTGGTGTGGTCTCCCTCTGCTCCATCGTCCTTGCTCCAGTTTGGTCCTCGTTTACACTTCCCAAATAACCGCGGGTGCCGAATCTCTTTTCATGTGTTTATTTACCATTCTTCATGTCTGTCCGTGTCTTCTTGCCCTATTTTTGTAACTGGACTGTTAGTATTTTAACAGTTAACTTGTGATTCACACATTCATTGCCATTGTTAGGTGCCATCCAGCAACAACACATCAACATACTGTCCAGCCCCGTGCCACCCTCCTACTGGTTGTGTGGCAGCCCCGTGTGGCAGCCACAGTGTCTATCCGATCCTTAAAGGCCTTCCTCTGGGTCACTGCCCCTCCACTAGTCCTTTTGTAGGGACTGGTTCAGGAGGCGGATTCGCCCGCCCTCGCTCCCTTCCAGCACAGCTGTGTACCTTCTGCTGGCCGTCCGGTCCGTGGTGCAGTCCGTCCTCACCAGAGCCAGAGCCCAGACGCTCCCCTTCGCCCCTCCTCCCTCCTTCATCATCCAGCTGTCCATCACCAGCATGGGGCGATTGAAGGAAAACACCGGGGCTTGGCTCAGGCACACCTTATTCTTCTTTGCCTTTTCACACTTCAGATGGGCCTTTTGCAGCAGACTTCCCCAGTGTAAGATATTGGTCCTGCCTTTTATTGAAGCATTGCATCGTGGTTTGGGTGAGTGCAGAGCACATTAGTTCCCACTCCGTCTGCACACGTTTTTAACAAATCACACACATTCCACACCCCCTCATGTAACAGCACTCCCCACTTTCCCCCGGGCTCCCAGTTCACGTGTCCCCGTCC